GCCCCCGCCGTGTTCCCGCTCTCCCCCTGCTCCTCCCAGTCCCTGTTCTCCGTGGGCTGCGTCGCCGTCGGCTTCTTCCCGCCCGCCCCGCTGCGCTGGGCCTGGAGCGACCGGGACAACCGGAGCCTGGGCGGGGCCGGGGAGGGCGGGGCCTCCTCCTTCCCCGCCCTCCGGAATTCCGGCCTGGGCGGATTCGTGGCCTCTTCCCACCTGAGCCTCCCGCTGGAAGAGGGGAAGGCCCGGAAGCCGTTCCGGTGCCGGGCGGAGCATCCCCGGGGGAGCCGGAGCGTCCCCGTCTCCAACCCCGGTGAGTCCCGGGACGTTCCGGGGGGGAATTCCCAAATATCCCAAAGGTTGGGGGGGTCTGGGATCCCAAATATCCCCAGGGAGGGGCTCGGATCCCGAATATCCCCAAGGGAGGGGCCTGGATCCCAAAAATATCCCGATTTTAAACGGCCCAAAGGGCCCAAAAATGTCCCGGAACGTCCCCATCCCAAAAATCCTGAGGGTCCTGATCCCAAATATCCAGAAGATTTTGATCCCAAATATCCTGAGGGTCCTGACCCCAAATATCCCGAGGGTCCTGATCCCAAATATTTTGAGGGTCCTGATCCCAAAAATCCTGAAGGTCCTGATCCCAAATATCCAGAGGGTCCCGATCCTGATTATCCAGAGGGTCCTGATCCCAAATATCCAGAGGGTCCTGATCCTGATTATCCAGAGGGTCCTGATCCCAAATATCCTGAGGGTCTCGATCCCGAATATTCTGGAATTCCAATCTCAGGCATCCGGAGGGATCCTTAAACTCCATCCCAAACATCCTCTGGATCCCGGATCCCGATCCCAAACATCCAGAGGGATCCTGGATCCCAATCCCTGAATATCCTAAGGTCCTGGATCCCAATCCTATGGATCCCGAATCCCCATCCCAAACATCCCATGGATCCTGGATCCCGATCCCAAACATCCCATGGATCCCGGATCCCGATCCCAAACCCCCCAGGGAGTCCTGGATCCTGATCCCAGACATCCCATGGGATCCTGAATCCCAATCCCTGAATACTCCAAGACCCCGGATCCTGATCCTCTGGATCCTGGATCCCGATCCCAAACATCCCAGGGGATCCTGGATCCCATTCCCGACTCTCCCATGGATCCTGGATCCCAATCCCAAACATCCCAGGGGGATCCTGGATCCCATTCCCGACTCTCCCATGGATCCTGGATCCCGATCCCAAACATCCCAGAGGGTCCTGGATCCCGATCCCAAACATCCCACAGGATCCTGGACCCCAATCCCAAACCCCCCCGGGAGTCCTGGATCCCCATCCCAAACATCCCATGGATCCTGGATCCCGATCCCAAACATTCCAGGGTGTCCTGGATCCCCATCCCAAACATCCCATGGATCCTGGATCCCATTCCCGACTCTCCCATGGATCCTGGATCCCGATCCCAAA